CAGTAGGTATGTGGTATTTGTTGACCCTGTATATATCCACCCATGACAACAAAATTTCTCAGAAGCATCGAGGAAAATGTTCCTCCGCCGTAAACATTTATTCAATCAATTATTCAAACATTTATTCAATCAATTCACTCAAAGGTATGAGTCAGGAAAAAGTCCAAAGCCCTGTACAGTAGTTATGGGGTATCCAGATTCCCTGCAGTCTTCTGAGTCCTTGTTGTATAGTCAGGTACACTTCACCCCAAATCTGATCAGCCCCAAAACTTACAGACCCAGGATTTTCTTTCCCTCCCCCACGGTGATCGGGGATTTTCGTTCCTCTGTGGCATGTGGTGCTGTGACGGCCTGAGAGGCCTGCCACGTCCCCCAGTCCTCAGGACAATCCCCGGCACAGCGTGGAGGTCGCCTGCGGACCCTGTGAGCCTTGGCGATGCACACGGAGCACACAGTTCTTAAGCCAAAAGTGAGGACCCGTGCGATGTGACATCTGGTATCCGTGCCTTCTGAACAGCCCAAGCCCTCTGGTCACCGTGGATGTATATGGAGGAGCCCCACTGACCAAAGTGGTCATCGAATCAGAATTCCCCACCCAGACCTTCGGGACCCACGGGGTCACCTGGGAGAACTGCAGGCTTGGAAATTTGGCTGCAGGATGACTGCTTAGTGGCGGCTCAGTAAGTGGCTGTGGGTGGCGATGAAGGGACGTGAGGGTGAGGTAAGGTGGATGTGCTGCCGTCTGTCGCTCTGAGTCCCTGGGTTAAAAGTCGGTCTGGCTGCTCCAGGAGGAGCATGCCAGTGTTTTGGCCGCGTGACCATAACGCCGGAGGGAAAGGGCAGGTTGTACTGGCAGAGTGAAGAGGGCCCCGGAGGAGAGAATAGTGTAAACAACAGCGCTGTGTCAGCTTATTCCAGCCACCTGAAGACAGGCGTAGATTCCTATTTGACCCACGTGTCTGGAGTGCCCGAGGGGCGCCAGGCTTGGTGGCAGGTGCGCCACACTGCCGCAGCGCCCTGGCTCTCGGGCCTGGGACAAGAGGACGTTAGCGCTGTCCTGTGGGTTTGGAAGTTCGGGTGAAGGGAGGTGAGTGTTGTGTGAACGTGTTGGAGCCCCCCCGCCAGCTGATCCCTACTGCTTTCTCAGCACATGCCATCCCACCTCGCAACGCCACGTCACTGTCACCTGGAGGCCCGGACACAGCAGGCTGACCCAGACCCCATGGCAAAGGTCCACTGGACAAGGTTTTCCGTCCTTCTGGGACCATCAGGGACAGTACCACCCAGTAGGCTAACCAGGGAAGTTCAGTACAAAGAGTGATCACCTGTGAGAAAAGAGCAATTATAAGCTATGAGGGACATGGTTCTGTAGGGCTGAGGGAGTGTGCCCAGGAAGGGATGGACACTGGAGACGGTGTGGTTCAGCCCACAGGACAGCGAAATGGTCACAGCTGGCCCGGCCAGCACCAGCCTGGAGCTGCAGGGCAGGCAGCAGCCACTCTCTGTCGCAGGCGGGAGACAGTAGTCAGCTTCCAGCGGCACGGGTGTGCCGTACCCTGGGAGTCTGTGCCCGCAGAGCACGGGGCTCTGCTTTCCACGCAGGGAGGGCTGTGGGGAGGTTACTGCTGGGCCTTGAGCTCAAGGTGGTGGAGGGACAGCGTCTGAGCCCGCAGCTGGGCAGGCTACACCGGATGTCCTCACCCACTGCTGACCCAGGCAGGAGACCCCTTCCTGCTAGCGCCCTGCACCGACAACGCTCAGCACTGTGTGCACGTGATGGGAGCAATGGCCGAAGGAATGCCACCATCTGTCACAGAGCAGATCACGACTGGGGCATCTGAGCTGAGAGGCAGCACACTGACGACAGCACCACAAAGCCACGGAGCACGCACTGCTCGCCCTGTCCAAACAACAGCCCTCTCCCTGCGAAAGGCTGCACCTGAATGGTACCCGTCATCGCTGGGCCACCGGGCAGGCCTGCAGCGCTGTGCATGGTGGCCTCCCCGCTGGGACACTCTGTCTTTCCCTTTTCTATCAGCCTGCCTGGTGCTCAGTGAGTTCTCCAGTAATCTCTGCCGCCTGGACTCACCCTGCGACGGTCGGGTGGAGGCCCGGGGCCGGGGGTGAAGGCGGCGCCCTTGGGATGAACAGGCCCGGGTACACCTGGCCTCCGCGTCCTGCTTTGCTTCAGAAGATCCAATTTCTAGAAACTAAAGAGGTCACAAAGCCCAAGTCTTTGTTGGAATTTGTTGGACTGTCTGTTAGTTGCTGCTGTGAGGCTGACACCCGAGCCGTTTTGCCTGTCCAGCCCGAGACCCAGGAACCAGCGAAGACCGTCTCCTCGGTGGGCAGCCCCAGGGGCAGGGCAGCGTTCCCTGGACATGTCTCCTTTGGAATCTCAATGTAATTGGGACGGAGACGTCTTGGTCTTCCCGGTTCCAGTTCACGGGGTGCCGGCTGATCCTCCGTGCACAGGCTGCGCTCGCGCACCGGGGACAGGTCTCAGACGCCAGTTTCTGGGCTCTTCTCTGACATGTGCTGTAGGTTTCCTGCACTGCCCTTCAGCCAGAGCTGTCCGTCTGCCGTCCACCCTGTTTCCCCACAAGCCTGCGCCTTTCAGAGAGCAGCTGCGGCTGTCGCCCACAGGGTTGTACTCTCGTGCCAGGCTCAGTGCCAGCGCCAGGCACTATCTCAGGCCTAGAAACTGGGACATGAGGTTCAGCGGGCAGCCTTCCGATCTCCCAGGCTATGGCTTGAGACTTTCCCTCTCCTCACACCCTACGGTCACTCTCACCACGTCCCGGCAAGTCTCCTTGTCCCCTCTCCGGGCGTGCGTTGCCTTGGGCGGGGTGTCTCAGCACAGCCCCCTCCTGCGATGCAGGCTGCCTCCCAGCGCTTCGAGGAGCTCCACTAGAGCAGGCATGGCAGGTCCCTGCCGCCAGCGACAGCTACCTTCTTGCCTGCCCTTGAGGCTCCACAGTCTGGCCCCCGTCCCCGTCCCCAGCCTGCCCAGGCCTGGCCTTCCCCAGCGCCCATGTGCCAGGCAGCCTCCTGGGAAGGGCTCGACTTCAAGCACTCCCACTTCCTGGGATGATGTTTTATACTGCTGCGGTGCTGTTACATGTGACATCACTGAGTGTCACTCAGTGATGGCTTCTTGCATACATCATATTGTGTTACGCACATGGCTGTAAGCTCGCAAGCAGGGACCGTGTCCTAGACTTATCTGACTGACTACAGCCCACAGTGGGCGCCAGTGCTGGCAGGGAAGCCGAGGCCTGGCTTGCAAGAGTGACTTCCAACCACAGGGCCATGTGAGATGACCCCTCTGCCCTTCCTGGAGTGTCGGAGAAGACACACGAGCCGCCTGCAGGGACGTGCCTCACTGGGCTTTAGGCCTGGGCCCCCGAGGGGTAGGTTCTGGGGCCGTCAGTGGGGTTCCTGCGCACACACGCTGCCAGCTGTCGCCAGCCCACCGCCAGCCTCGGCCTTCGTGCTCTCCCCCTGCCCGGCTCGCCTGTACGTCATGCATCTAGCCGCCATCATGACCAGAGACTTGTCCACAGTGGCAGGTGTCCTGGTGAAGGCAGTGGCCTACGGGACAACATTGGACAGAGACCTGCTGGGGTTTAGCCTAGGCGGCAGGAGCACAAGGAGGACCTGCAGGGCTGAGGCCAGCACCTCGTCACAAGGCCCGGTGACTCTGGAACAGTGGAGGCTGGGTCCAGTTTTGCGCGTGGCAGGTGGCTCCAGCCCCACGTTGCCCACATCTCAGGCAGCGCGGCTCTTGCTGAGCAGTGAGTGATTGTCTCTGTCACAGCCGCCGACCCTGTCACCAAGGTCAGGACGCCGGGTCCAGGGTCACTGGCACACACCGACAGCGTGGTGGCACTGCCTCTGGAGAGCCCGCTAGGGCCACCTCCACCTGCCGGGGCTCAGGTGTGGCCCAAGCACGGGTGCAGGGCCCAGGTGCTGGCAGCTCTCCCCACCGCCCTGTGCTAACCCAGAGCTCGTCCACACAGCACGGGGTCACCGTGACACCCCACTTCCTCCGTCCTGGATCGCACTCTAGTTCGTTTCCCCTTCTTGGGAAACACTGTAGCTCTTAAAGCAAACCAGAAACAAATTGGCCTGTAATTTTTATTTCTGCTTTCTTTAAATGTAGCTAGAATTTTTTTTTTAAATAAAGAAAAAAATATCACAAGGGGTCTGTAGAGCCTGAATGTCCGCCGGGCACGTGTCACTTTGGGTTAGCCAAGCGCCCACAGCGGCCTGGCAGATGGGTCAGGCGGGCACGTTTGCCTCCCCAGGCACAGTGGCGCCCTGGTGGGCACCCCACTTGTCACCACCTGAGGCAGACGGGGAGGGGGAGGGGGAGGGGGGAGCCAGCCTTGCCCCGTGGCACGCAGTACTCGCGGGCTCCGGAACCCCGGACCTTCTTCCCCTGCGGACTCTGGGCAGGCAGCCGCGTCTGCATCTCTGTCCCCGCTCGGCCTGTGCGCGGACAGTGCCCCGCTGCTGCCCACTGGCCTGAGACGCACATGGCCGTCTTGGGCTCCACCCAGCCCTTGCGGAAAGAAATGTGTCCCTAGGGAGTGAGAACAAGTGGTGTCTGCCATGGCTCTGCCTGCACCCGCCCCCTCATGTCTTCGTGCCAGGCCTTTCAGGAGGGACGGGTGTCATGTCAGTGCACTGGATCCCCCAGAGTCCCCAGAAGGAACAAGTTGGGACAGCACCCCCGGCGCAGGGCTAAGGGACCACTCCCCTCAGAGGAGCCCAGCTCCTCACAAAAGGTCACAAAACATCCTAGAGCCCAGCCCCTCCCCTGCTCCTCCAGGGATGTCACCCCAGTCCCAGAGCTCCCGTCTTCACTCGGAGTTCCCAGCCTCTTGTCCACTGATGATAGAAAACGGATCCCGCTCGGGTCCAGCCCTCGTTGCGTGCTGTGGCCACACGCACGGTTCCCGAGCGCCCGTGTCAGCCCGTCTGTGTCTCCGCAGGGCCTGATGCACTCGAGCGGCCCGGTGGGCCGGCACCGGCAGCTGACCCTGGTTCTGGAGGGGGAGCTCTACCTCATCCCTTTCGCCCTCCTGAAGGGAAGCTCCTCCAACGAGTACCTCTACGAGCGCTTCGGCCTGGTCGCCGTCCCCTCCATCCGCTCCCTCGGCCCGCAGTCCAAGGTAACGCTCGCGGGGCGCCTGCCCTCGGGGTCTGGCCGGACGCGGCCACGTTATCAAGGCTGCGGTCGCCTCAGAAGTGCCGCTTTCACGGCCTGCTCCCAGGTAGAGTGACTTTTGAGTAGGTCTGTCCACAGGACCCCTGCCGACCCCTGGCAGTTCTTTGCTACCTCAGGAATCGTGACTTCTCACGTTCCTCAGTTTCTCTGCTGTGGCGTCAGGGTCAGGAGCTGCTTAGAGGCACAGAGCCAGGCCTGAAGCCTGCCTGGGTACCTGAGGGAGCTGTCGCCCCTTCACACACGACACCAGTGAGGCACCGCAGATGCCGTGCCGCTGGCCCTAGCCCTGCAGCTGATCCCGGCCGGGCACCAGGGCCGCTGAGGCAGCAACGACAGACAGTGAGAGCAGTGTCGAGGGGACGAGAGGCCAGCGTGCCCTGCAGGGACTCGGGTCCCATTTAGCAAGAAGTCAGTGTGGAAAGAAACATCCTCGAAAATGCAGAGGGCAGCGGTGGCCGGCACAGAGTCACAGGGCCACCAGGGTCACCCACAGCCGCCCGGCCCTGCCCACCTGGGTAGAGGGACTTTCGAGCCAGCCCCGAATCCTCCCCCCTCCTCCAGACTCCCCAGGCTGGAGGCCACTCGCAGGGGCCCCCGCTGACCTGGCTTGGCCTCTTTGTTGACTGGCCATTGCCAGCGTCTAACGGGCCAGTGCTGCCTCACAAGGTTTAGAGATCTTAATTTTGACCACTTTTGTTGCTTTCTAGTACTTTTCTCATGAGATAGAATCAGTTGAAAGTGAAAGAAATACTTCTCTCCAAGTTTCTCAACTTTCCGTGGCTGACTGTGACTCCTGCAATCCCAGACATGCAGCAAGCTGGCCTGGGTGCCGCCGCCACCCGCACTCCCACGCCTGCCCACGTGGCGCCCCCACACCTGCCCCCGCGGCGCCCACGCCCGCCCACGCAGCGCCCCCACACCTGCCCACACGGCGCCCCCACACCTGCCCCCGCGGCGCCCACGCCCGCCCACGCAGCGCCCCCACACCGCCCACAGCGCCCACGCCCGCCCACGCAGCGCCCCCACGCCTGCCCCCCACAGCGCCCACGCCCGCCCACGCAGCGCCCCCACGCCTGCCTCCCACAGCGCCCACGCCCGCCCACACGGCGCCCCCACGCCTGCCCAGGTGCCGGTGCTGGTGCCACCCACACCCCCACGCCTGCCCACACAGTGCCCACGCCCGCCCACGCAAACCCCGGTGCCAGTGCCACCGCCTCCAGGGAGCTGCTGTTCTGTGGCGGCAGCACAGCAGCTACTCGCCAACTGCCCAGAGTTTAAGGCGTCCCTAAGCAGGGGCATCAAAAAGTCATTTTGAAATCATTTGATACTTGATGTTTCTCAAAAAGTATCAGCAGTCATCATGGGGAAAACCAGAATGCATTGCTTCTTTCTGCCGGTTTTATAATCCAGTGGTGGTCTCTATTTTGCAGCATGGAAGGGGGAAGGGAACTATCATCTCCCAGTACCCAGAGCTTCTGAAGGACTGAATTTCCCGAGAGCGACTTGCCTTTTTGCACAACTTTAAAAATGTCGCCCTCAAAGCCCCTGATGCGTCAGGAGCGGGTTTTCCTCTTACCTGGGGGCAGGGCCGTCACGGGCAGGCTGGCCGTCCTGTCACCTCAGGGCCTCCTCCCGCAGCCCTCTCGGGACTAGACGACGGGAAGTGGCCCTCCTGCCATCCTGTCCTGACTGTTTTAAGAGCTTGCTGTGATAGCTGTGGTTCTAAGGCAGGTACCCGAGTCAGGACGATTGGCACAGTTAGAGTGAGTGCGATTCCTGGGGAGACGGGGGCAGCGACCCGGCAGGCGGCAGAGCTGGGGCAGCCTGGCTGTTGTGTCTGACAGGTGGTCTGCTTGCTGTCCCCTCCTAGTCCCACCTGAGGAAGAACCCGCCCGCCTACTCCAGCTCCACGTCCATGGCGGCCGTCATCGGCAACCCCAAGCTCCCGGCGGCTGTGATGGACAGGTGGCTGTGGGGGCCGATGCCATCGGCCGAGGAGGAAGCCTACATGGTGTCCGAGCTGTTGGGCTGCCAGCCCCTGGTGGGCAGCGTGGCCACCAAGGAGAGGGTCATGAGTGCCCTGACCCAGGCGGAATGCGTCCACTTTGCTACCCACATCTCTTGGAAACTGTCGGCCCTGGTCCTCACGCCTGGCGTGGATGGCAACCCCGGCAGCAGCAAGAGCTCCTTTGGCCACCCGTACACGATCCCCGAGTCCCTGCAGGTGCAGGACGATGCCAGCGACGGCGAGAGCCTCTCGGACTGCCCGCCCCTGCAGGAGCTGCTGCTCACGGCCGCCGACGTCCTGGACCTGCGGCTGCCCGTGAAGCTGGTGGTGCTCGGCTCCTCGCAGGAGTCCAGCAGCAGAGTCACGGCGGACGGTGTCGTCGCGCTGACACGGGCCTTCCTGGCCGCCGGCGCACAGTGTGTCCTGGTGTCGTTGTGGCCTGTGCCCGTGGCTGCCTCCAAGATGTTTATCCACGCCTTCTACTCATCCCTGCTGAACGGCCTGAAGGCCAGCGCTGCCCTGGGGGAGGCCATGAAGGCCGTGCAGAGCAGCAAGGCCTTCTCGCACCCCTCGCACTGGGCAGGTGGGTGCGCGGCGCGGGGCTGCAGCGGGGACGGGGAGGAGGGGCAGTGCCAGCCACGCAGGGTTCAGGGAGAGACCTTGTGGCTGAGTCCCTTACCTACTGCCAAACAGGCTTTTCCCTACTATGGCATTAAGATCATCTTTTAGACCAGGGAGCAGCGGAACTGTTTGCCATCAGAGTACGCATGTAAAACTCCTGATGTTAGTGCAATGGGATGACCTATTTTATGGCACCCCCACTTTAACCGTGACTGTAGAAAAGAGGTGTACGATGGAAAGACTAGAATTGGTCATCAGAAGACTTAGGACTTAGGACTTAGCTCCATGTCTTGGCTGTGTGACCTGAGATAAGTTACTTACCTTCTCTGAACCTCAGTGTCCTCAGCAGTGACAAGGAGATGGTCGTGGGGCTGATGATCCCACCCTGCCCACATCTGAGAGGATGTGTAAGGAGTGTGTAAACGTCTTGTGACGCGTGGGGCCCTGCACGTTCTGGAAGACCAACCATGCGTGCTGCTGGCGTGCCTGCCTGCAGAGGGCTCAAAGGGTCTGGGAAGCAAAGGGACAATGTTTCTGTGACCACTGGTCCCAGGAGAGTGAGAAGGCAGCCACCCAGCCTGTGTTCAGAGCTGCCTCTCAGCTCCGTACAGCACCTGCCTCCCCTGGGTCCCCGTGGGAGGGGTGTCCACGGCAGCCACCAGGGCTCAACTGTGCAGGAGACCCTCAGTGCAGACCGACCCGGCCTGTTCCCACTGACCCCGCCCCAGCCAGGGCCGTTTCGCTGACACACATCTGGTCCTTTGGTCTGTGTGTCCTCTCAGCAGTGGCCCCTGCCACTCCCCAGGCAGTGCAGTGATGGTCCTGACCCGAGCAACAGAGAATCTCAAAGTGTCTTGAACCTTAGGAGACAGAGAAACACCAGAAAGTACCATTTTCTTAAAATAAATCCAGCTGACATGTTCTGATATTGCTGGTGTCATTTTCCAGAGCTGGGTAAGGCCTGCAGTGGAGCCTGGTGTCGCCAGCCCAGCCAGCCGGCAGACCATGTGGCTGCAGGGGCCACTGCCCACAGGTCAGGTGCAGGCCCAGGTGGATGGGGCAGGTGGTTGAGAAATGGAAACATTTTGTTTAATTCGCAAACACAGGCAGCTCTAGGGTCTTGCAAAAGCTATTCAAAAATCAACAGAGTGTATCCCGTTTCCTCCTGTGGCTAAAGAGAAACATTCGGTTGGTCCAACAGGCACAGGCCTGGCCTGCTTTTTGGCTGCCCTAACCTCACGGCTGCCCCGTATTTCTGCCAGGCGGAGGGTGGGCAGGCGGCAGGCGCAGAGGGAGTGGGCTGGCCGTGTTGCTACCCTGCTCCGCTTCCCGGAGACACAGGACTCAGAGGGGACCCTGCTGGATTCCATTACTGTTCTCATCACGTGAGGCATGTTTATGCTCCTGGCAATCAGAAGGGGTTTGGGGCCCCACTGAGTCCCACAGAACGAACCGCAGGGCTGTGGGAACCTGGGCCCTCGCCCTGGAGGCCCCTTCCCCTCAGCGTGGGTCTCCGCCATGTGCTTACAGACACAGCAGTTTTGAAAAGGGTCTTTGTTTAGTTTTACCGACAGACAACATAAACGTCACGACTTTTGTTCTGGGAGAAACAGGTTTTAATGGTACTGTCCTGTTATCTTTAAAAACAGCTCATTCTCTTAGAAGCCCTTTCCCTATATGATTTGGGGACAGGTTGGTCCCAGAGTTGCTCAGGGACTTAAGGAATCTGCTTCCCTGGCCCTGATTTGGAAGGGCATGCCCAGAAACGGGCCAGGAGAAGCAGGGCGGGGACGCGGTGCTCCCTGGACTTGCAGGCCTTGCCCAGCCTGGCCGTTCGCTGCTGCTCAGAGCTAGAGAACGGCCACCTCCCTGCCCCCTCTCCGCTGGCCCCACGCACCCCTGCCCCCCACCACGTTCCCTCCCACAAGCCCCAGGACAGACAGACACGGAATGCAGGGAAAACGAGGCAGGGCATTCCTTGGGGTGGTGGGCTGAGCCAAGTTCGGGGCCTGGGAGACCACTGGCCTTTCCCCGTCACTGCCGGTGGCCAAGAGGAAGGCAGCGCTACCTGCCGAGCTGCTCTCCGCAAACAGCACGCCCCACTTACCTGAACAGGTGGACGGTGTCCATTCTTGAAAGGGCACCGAGGCGCCACGTCACCATCCCATGAGTGAGATGCCCCAGTCCGGCCCTGCCCTCGCTGCGGGTGCGTCGTGGGGCCTCACCCCGCGGACACCGGGCGGGCAGGGGTCTCCAGCCACACTGAGCCGCGCTCCTGTGCTCCCCGCAGGGTTCCTGCTCATCGGGAGTGACGTTAAGCTGAACAGCCCCTCGTCGCTCATCGGCCAGGCCCTCACAGAGATCCTGCAGCACCCGGAGCGCGCGCGGGACGCCCTGCGCGTGCTGCTGCACCTGGTAAGGGGCCGGCCTGTGTGAGGAGGGCCAGGCTGAGCGTCCCTGTCACGGGGACATGGGCAGGTGGGGGACACCTCGACTGGGGCTTTCTCTAGGACAGCGCTGACTGGCTTCTGCAGACGTCCCGGGCTGAGCCCATGGGTCTGAGGGGTGGCCACCGTGTGCAGCGTCATCCAGGGGCTGTGGCGGTCCTCGCCAGGACCCACGCCCTCGCTGCTCCAGCCATGGGGCTTTGAGCAGGTCACTTTGGCTCTCTGAGCCTCAGTTTCCTCATCTGGAAGGGGATGATAAAACTAACATTTCAAGATCATTATGAGAAAATATAAGTACCAGGCACATAGCAGAGTCCTGGTGGCTGGGAGATGGCATTTTATAATCAGATGACACCAGTCCTCCCCCACAACCTCAGCTGGAAGGAGAGCCCAAGTCTGAGCATGCCTGGCCAGCCTGCCCAGCTCTGTGGGGCCGGGCGCGGAACGCACGGGGGCCCCACGTCCTCATCTGCACATTTCACCAGTTCGGCACGGCGCTCCCCGGCCGCGACTCACGCCCGCAGCCGCACGGTAGCCTGTGCTGTGCGTTGACGACGGGTCCGTTGTGCTCTTGTGTGATGAGGAAGCTTTAGAGCACTGGAAGTTACAGGCAGCTTTACTTGTAAATCAGAATAGATAACACGTACATCGATGTTTTTATTACATTATTTTTAAATGTTTACAATTTTATTTTGATAAATGAAAAATTAGAAAAGTCAAGTTTTGTTATTAACGCTAAAGTCAACGCTTGGCTGCGCGTGTTCATCTGTGGCTATCGACTATAGTCGACGTTCGTACCAAAGTAGTTAAAAAACGTAAAGCTTGTTCTGTCTTTCCACCTTGGTAACCACCTGGCTGGAAGGCAGTTTCGAATAGCGTAGAGTTCAATGCCAGAGAGACCAGCCCAGTCCCAGCCTGGAGCCCCCAGAGCATGGCAGACAGCCTGCCCCGTCCAAGCTCTGTCCAAACCCGGTGTAGACAGCCGCCCCGTGGCCACCTTGTAGGCCGGTTGCTGCACACGCCCCGGCTCTGTCCCTGTTCGAGACAGAGGACCCGGGGGCAGAGTCCGCACAGGGCTGGGGGTGGGCTGGGGCTGGGTTCCAGGTGGGCTCTTCCCCTTGCCCATGCAAACCTCGTGCCTCGTGGGCATAAAGCTCCCTTGGCTGTATCTCCTAGAGTGGCTGTGGTGGCCAGCTCCTACCTTCTGCTTGCTACCCTGGGTCTCTTTCGCTCCGGTGGGCAGCTTGTCTCCAAGGCCCTTCTGGCCCAGGGGTCACAGGGGCTGGTCACCTGTCCTGTCCAGGAAGGCTCGCTTCCTTGTGGGGGTGCGAGTGCACACTTCCTCCTGCCGAGACACCCGGGCCCTCGTATCCTGTGTCCCACCGTAAGAAAAGCCTGAGGTGGCATTTTGGACAACTGTCATGGCCCTCCAGGGAGAGCACACGTGCCTCAGCATGGACAGAAGTTTCCCTGTAGAGGCCTGTGGGGAGGCCGGGTGAAAGCTGCTGAAATGCCCCGCGGGGAGAGTTGACATGGCAGTTATTTGAGTGAATTCGGCGCATAGGTGCCAGTGGGAAGACTGGGGCACTCTATGGCGGAGGGAAGGGGAGGCGAGGCGAGGCGAGGCGTGGGCTCTAGAGGCCAGCACTAAAGGACGAGGGATGAGTTGGGAAGAAGGACGTGGCAGCCGAGGCCCGGGCTGGGCACGTGTGGTGGGGCAGGGGCTCTGAGCTGGGCGCAGTGAGGGTGTCTTAAAGGGCCCGTGGTTCATCCCAGTTAGTGGGAGCCGTTACCTGGTTGGAGGGAGGCACCTACCCTGAGATGTGCTTCCGGACAGATCGCCCTGGCGTCCATGTGGTGGGGACCCTGGGGAGGGCCCCAGCCTAAGTCCAGGATTCTTGGGTCGCACCAGCCCTTGCTGGCTCCGATGGCAAATCCTTCCCGTCTGCACACCATGCAAAATGCCCAGCATTGTGTCCTGAGGCCTGGTCACATGGGCCGCCTGGGTGGCAGCAGTCAGCCCCGCTTCACCCCGTGGCTCTGTGTGCCCTCAAGGCCACACCGAGAGAAACCAGGCTGGCCGGTCTCTGACTCACGCCCGTTGCCCTCCAGGTGGAGAAGTCCCTGCAGCGCATCCAGAACGGGCAGCGCAATGCCATGTACACGTCCCAGCAGAGCGTGGAGAACAAAGTGGGCGGCATCCCCGGCTGGCAGGCCCTCCTCACCGCCGTGGGCTTCCGGCTGGACCCGCCGGCCAGCGGCCTGCCGGCAGCGGTCTTCTTTCCGACCTCCGACCCCGGCGACCGGCTGCAGCAGTGCAGCAGCACCATCCAGTCCCTGCTGGGTGAGCCAGCGGGCTTGGGCGCGGCGGGAGCCCCTGCATGCCTGAGGGTGCTGGGGCTCTGGCTGGGCGTGTCTGAGAAGTGGCCAGGAGAGCCGGGCACAGACTGCGCTGATGGGGGAACAGTGCTGTGAGCTGACGTTGCTCTGCAGCAGCGAGGCATCCGTGCCCAGCAGGCGCCAGCTCAGCTCGGCCCTTCCCGGGCGGCATGAGGTCGCACTGGCACACGCTGCAGTCCATGCTGTCGTGCAGCTGGGGCTCTGGCAAAGCCGCGTGGCCAGGCGGACGCTGGGTGCGTGACTCGGAGGGACTGGTGCTGCCTGGGCCCCGAGGTGGGGTCCTGGGAACTCGGCTCCACCTAGAGGACTGCGGCAGGGTCAGGACTCGCCCCCTGCCACCCGCCTTCCTCAGAGACCACACTGTGCTCTTGCAAATCACACGGGGACGCACACGGCCAGCGTGCTGAGCTTTTGAAAATTTCACTGATGCTGAGTATTTTGGGTACATTCCCCTGGGATGGTGGTAGGATTGTGGGTGCAGAGGCCCCTGAATAACTTCTGCTGCCTTTTTCTTGGTTAAGGTCTGCCCAATCCTGCCCTCCAAGCCCTCTGCAAGCTCATCACCGCCTCGGAGACGGGCGAGCAGCTCATCAGCCGGGTAAGTGGAGCCTGGGCCTGGGGGCCATGCCGAGGCGGACAGGCAGAGAGCCTTGGCCGCAAGGAGGGGCCTGCAGTGAACGCGCTCTCCCGGCCTCTGCGATCAGAAGAGGCGAGGGCCGGGAGTAAGGGAACTGCCCTCCCTGGCACGCGCTAGGCGCAGAGGGCAGATTCTCACCGTGTTCTCTCTGGGGGCTGAGCCCGGGGAGTCGAGGGCCTTCAGAAGATGCTCTCGGGCCCCTGTCACCTGTAGTCCAGGGCATTTCCTGAACTCTCCGTGCAGTGGTCTCCTATCCCTTGTCATCCCCACCCCCAGCCTTTTCAGCTGACTGGCAGGCGTCACGGCCCCTCCCGTAAGCCAGCAGGAGCGTGGCGAGCGCACCGGCACGGCCACGGGCGAACTGCACCCACGCTCCGGTCGCAGTACGCACCATGCTTGAAACAAAATGGTCACGAGGCACAGCTGCGAACATACGGCCAACTCTAGTAGTGTTTGCAGATGGGCTTTATTTTAGGAAAACGTAGATCTAATTCTGGAATTCGAGGATTCTAATTCTTGGCATCACCCAGGCCCTTCGCAGACTCCCTGGTGACTCCACCCTGGCCAGTGAGGGTCTGGAACAAGCCCCAGGGCAGCCTGAATCCGCATGCTTCTGGAGGCTGGAGCAGCCCTTGAGGAGCACAGAGCGATGTTTTCAGCTCTTGTTAGACTGTGACAATTTGGGAAAGTAGCATACATTGTCATTAGACATACTTGTCAGCAGGTTTCATTTTAAGCGGACATATTTCTATGTGGAGCTGCAGCCGCTCCGTCTAGGATTCACCTCTGCGCTCTGAGTGGTGCCAGGAGCCTGCTCTGAGCCCGGGCTGTTCCCACCTGGATTTGTAACATAGAACCACTCGGTGACCTGTCTCCTCCTCTGAGTTCCTGCTCATTTTGCAGTAAGTGTGTTACACCTCTTGTCGGATAGCATCAGGAAGATACTTCCAGAACACTGCTTATTGAAACAAGCATCCTGAACCCAGGGTGCCTAGAGGACTGCGTTCTGTGGAAGGAGAAAGCAAGAATTGCATTACATTTGCAGGGCTAGGCTGAGAGTCAAAAAAAACCAGTTGCTTAAATTCTTGCCTCTGGTGAGAGCACAGGACTTCCTGCCTGACGCACTGTCAGCCCAGGGGGGTCCTGAGGCCACTAGTGGCGGCCGCTGGTGAGCCTTCCCTGACTCGCTCTCTGGTTCACAGAGCGGCCTGTGACGCCCTGTCGTGCCCCTTCCCGCTCGAGCCTCTGCTGGCAGGAAGGGCAGGGCCTGGCTGACCCTGACCCGAGCCCCTCAACCGCGCACGTTTGGCCTGGTGTGGCTGTTCGTTTCCTGTGTGTCCCCTGCTGACTCTCGCTCCGCTCCCCTCCTGGTCAGGGCCGCGGGCCTGGCGTGGCGCTTCCTAAAGCAGTGATCAGCTCGTGTTGCGTAACAGCCTGTGCTTGAGTCTAAACTCTGTTCTTTCTCTCTCTTTTTCTTTCTTTTTCTTATAATCTGCTGGCCGAAGGCTGTTAAAAATATGGTTGGAATGGTGAGTACTACTCTTAAGTAGCAACTGTCGCCAGGTGAGCCCCTCAACCCGCCCACCCCCAGGGCCCCGCGCACGCTGAGCTCGGTGTGCACGCACGCGCTCCCGGAGCCACGCGGGCTGCGCAGCTCAGGCTGGGGCCCAGTTCCGGCGGCCCGGCCCCTTGCTCTGCTCTGGCTCCCCTCCTGCTCTGCCCTTCTTGCATCCTTGACTTGACCTTTTAAGTTCCACCAGAACAGCAGGGGCAGAACCAGCTGTGAGTGAGTAACACCCTGTGGACCCACACAAGGCCCCTGAGGTCACAGACCAAGAAATCTAAAACGTGGGTGGCCACGGACACCCACATGGGCCACACGGGCTCTTCCTTGGGTGCCGAGGCACTGAGATGTGATGTCGGGTTCCTCTTCACCGTTTACTTCAAGATCCTAGAGATGACTTAAATAACTAAGTATAAACTGAGGGAGGCGACCAGTCCCCTAACACAGCCCCTTCCACTCCCCAAGCCCCGATGCAAGGCCAGAAGCAGAACCCCGACTGCGCCATCCTGGCCCCAGGAGGCCACACAGCCTCTTGTCCCGCTGCCCCACGAGCTTCCCACAGAGAGGACAGTAGGACACTAGGTACGAAGGCACCTTAAACAGAATCTCTAATCCTACATGCGTGAGGGGGTTGTTAGCGATGCCAATGACAGGTGACAGGAGAGTAACTCGGGCTGGAGGGAAGCAGACGGGCAGGGCGGCTCACATCTGGGCTCCGTCCTCAGCTCCACCAGGTGCTGGTCCAGTTCCAGGCCGGCGAGAAGGAGCAGGACTTCGCGGCGGCCCCCATTCAGGTCTCCATCAGCGTCCAGCTGTGGCGGCTCCCGGGATGTCACGAGTTCCTGGCAGCTCTAGGTAAGACAGAGTGTCCTGGGTTTTGTGGGTTTCTTTAATTCTAGTTTTCTAAATCTGTCTTTCCTCCTGGTTTCTGTTGGGTAAGGGTCTTATCTCCATGGTTTCTTAGATATTTCATTATTTTAAAATAGTTAAAGATTTTAGTGCTTCAGTGCGATTCCCGCATGGCCCTCAGCTCCGTCCCATTTCCCCCGCACGGTCTCCGTCTCTCTGGTTTGCGCTCAAAGCCTTCATGTGCATCTGCCGGATCCCAACATCGCTGCAGGTCAAGCATGATTAGGAGCTAAAGAAGATTACAGTTAGAGTCGTAGAATAATAGTTTCAACACTCTCTCCGTCACTGGCTGCTGGACACTGCCAGGAAACCACCTCTGACCGGCCACAGAGCGTCCGTGGCCAGTCCAGGGCGCTCGCTCGCCCCTTCCTGTCCTTGGTAACATGCTGACACTGCACTGCCACGTCGTCGTCCCCTGTCGGCAGGTGCGTTTGTCGATAGGACGTGGGAGGCTGTGAGCCTCTCCTCCCGCCCCGCTGAAGTGCCTGTGACGTGCTTGGGAGCCACTGACTCCACAGCTTTCTTCTCAACACTGTGGCGTCAGGCAACGTCGCAGGCACGGAGACGCAGCAGTGGGCGAGAGACGGAAAGCCCTGCCCTCCTCGAGTCTGCGTTCTGTGGAAGAACACGAGCAGACTCCATGCGTCCAGGGGGGAGGAGCCGGGGCGGGCCTCAGGGCACTGGGGTGTGCACAGGTGGGAAGAGCTGGGAGCAGCTGTGCGCGGAGGGAGCCAGGGGCCGGGGCCTGGCTGGGAGCGGAGGGCAGGTTCTGGGGCCGAGGCCAGAGGAAGCCTCTGCAGTTTAACGCGAGGGAAGCGACGGCCGTGGGAGCAGGCAGTCTGACTCGCTGTGCAGGGAGGCGGCAGGGTAGCGAGGCCTTAGAAAGGAGTTTTTCTTCCCGCTTGTGAAGCGCGGGTATTCTGTGTTGGGCCACCTTGTCTAACCTCGTCATGTGACCTTTCCCAGCACCCCTTGGCTTTGGGCTGGCTCCATTTGTTTTCAGACACCGTGTGTCTTTTGAAGGGAAAGGAGGAACCCACAAAGCCCCATGGGGCTCTGCGACCCCTAGGTTAGAGGCCGCATCCTTTAAGAGCTGGACTTCTTGTTTTCTTTCTCTTGCGGATCTAAATCATGGTCTTCTTGGTGTAAACATAGTAAATTTATACCTGAATCAACGTGGCCAGTAGCCAATGGAGGCAGGAGTGAGAAAGGCCAATTTGCGCCCAAGGTGGCTCTGTCTTCACTTCTGTGACAGGCTACTTGGGGCCAGGGACGCAGGCGAGCCAGCAGGAGCACAAAGCCAGGGCCTTTCTGTGTAAAGGAAGCTCCTTCCTCACACGGGGCCGGAGCCCCTCCCCATGTGTGCGCTCCGTTGTCAGATGTATCAAGGGGAACAGTCCAGAAGGAAGCCCCCAAAATCCTAGCCCTGGTGCTGGGATCACGCGTGTGCCGCTCCGCGCTTTCCGTGTCCACCAAGGCTCGAGGGCGAGGCAGTGTGCACATGTTCACAGTCGTGAAGTCCCTCTGAGAGTGGGGAGAGGACAGTGGCATCCCGCAGGCCTGGCATCTGGACAAGTGGCTCTGCCGGGTGGTGGCAGTGGGCGCCCGCCACCAACACTCACCACAGCGTCACCAGGGGTTGAGAGGACTCTGTTTTAGCGAAGCCACCGATTTAAATCATTTTGGTAAAAGTAGAGGTTTCCCTGTAATCCTAGCACTCTGGGAGGCCGAGGCGGGCGGATTGCTCAAGGTCAGGAGTTCGAAACCAGCCTGAGCAAGAGCAAGACCCTGTCTCTACTAAAAATAGAAAGAAATTAATTGGCCAACTAAAAATATATATATAAAAAAAAAATTAGCCGGGCATGCCTATAGTCCCAGCTACTTGGGAGGCTGAGGCAGGAGGATCATCGCATGAGCCCGGGAGTGTGAGGTTGCTGTGAGCTAGGCTGATGCCACGGCACTCTAGCTCAGGTGACAGAGTGAGACTCTGTCTCAAAAAAATAGCAGAGGTTTCCAATGGAAACTATGTTTATTAAATGCTGAATTCTCTGAAACCTTCCTCTTGCTTTCAGAGAGGAAAATGTCCCATAGTGGCCAGAATGCCGAGTGGCTCCTCCAGTGAACCTAATGCTAAAGGGAATGATAGCGCCAGACCAGTATCGGAATCCGGAGTGAGAACAGGAAGGAAGGATGGAGAGAGGAGACGGGGGCGGAGGTTGGCAGGGCACAGATTGCTCCTCGGGTGACGATGCTCAGCTGTGCAGCCATGGCACGCTGCCGACAGCACTGTGTACACAGGTCCCTGTTATTTTCCCATCATAGGTGCCCTGTCCCTGGGGCCTCAGCACCAGGCGTCCTGCACAGCTTCGGGTGGAGCTCAGAGATCTGCCAAGGGAGCCTGAGTAAAGACTGTCAATGCTGAAGACCTTCAGGCCCTAAATTCTTGCTTGTTGGTCCCTGTCTGTGGACACGGACCTGTCACTGGCCACGGTGTCTGTGTTTGGCGTCTCCCCAGGGAGACGTGCTTGCTGGTGCTCTGTAACGTCTCTGAATAGGTCTGAGTGCCGTGTCGACAGCTCGTTAGCTCGGCGCCCTTTGTTGTACCCACTGTCGGTCTCATTAGAATCGTCAGAGCCGGGCGCAGCACCCCTGGGCTCTGGCAGAGGCAGCAGGGCCCTGCAGAGCGGTTCAGCCAGGAACGCAGATTCTCCGTGGTCGGAGCTCACTGGAAAGCCCACAGTGGTGATGCTGAACACGGATGAAGACGTTGACCTCGCCTTTGAGAGCCTTCCAACCCTTTCCACGCACCAGCCTTAATTATCCGTCCTGATGCTGGACCAGGTGGCTAGTTTTTGTCCTGGACAGTCTTTAAGCAGACTGTCTCCTGTGAGAGAGAATGGAACAACAACAAAATATTAATGAGCCTAAGTCCTGGTCCCCAGCTCTCAAGAACACAGTCCACAGTGTCCTGTGAAGGGGCGGGGGGAGTGGCACCGAGTAGCTGTCCTAGGCGAGGCGGCCTGGCCCTGTCCATTCACACAGCTGACCGCACGCGCACAGGGAGCGGCCCAGGCCGGGCGGGGGCTGCGAGTGTCCCATGAAATGGTGCCGGGAGCCCTCCAGCGCTCATCACGGCCAGGATGTGAGATCTTCCTTGAGGAAGCAGATGCTTATACTTTTTGCTCCTCCAGGTTTTGATCTCTGTGAAGTTGGGCAGGAGGAAGTAATCCTGAAGACCGGGAAGCAAGCCAACCGCCGGACCATGCACTTCGCGCTCCAGTCCCTGCTGTCTCTCTTCGGTAAGGCGCCGCCGCGGCCACGCCCCCGGGCTGGACCAGCACGTGCGTCTTGGGCAGGGGAAGGAAAGAGAATACACGTTTTTTGTGTGCATGTGTCAGGGACTGCTCAAGAGCAGTAAACAGAAACCCCCTGCTCTCCTGGGACTTACAGTCAGCGGGGGAGGCAGTCACAATGTATGTAGCGTGTACGAGGGGCTGACAGGCCCAGGAGGAAAAGTAAAGCAGGGTAGGGCACTAGAAGGTGAGAGGGTCACAGCAGAGCAGATAGGACGTGGTGACTGTGCCCGTCCTCTGCGGGGCCTAACAGGAGCAGGAGCCCAGGTCACGTGGGCCTGGGGGCATACCCAGTGTGACCCGTGTTCTCAAGGGCCAAGCTGGCTGCAGAGTGAAGGGTCCGGCAGGGGCCATGGTTTGCAGGCAGAGCCAACAGGATCCGCTGAAGGGCGTGCATCACGACAGAAAGGGTCAAAGGGGTCTCCCGCGCTCTGGAACAACGGCTAGAGCAGGATTGCCTTTGGCTGAGGGAGGCAAGTGGCGGGAGGAATGGGTTGAGTTCCATCGCAGACGCGTTCAGACACAGTCACAGCCCGCCCGGCCAGGTCAGAGGGGAAGACGACTGTGGCCTGGGAAGGAGTGGTGAGGGCAGGACTGAGCAGTGGACACTGGATCTGGCAGCGTGGACCTCACTGGGGACCTTTACAAGAACAGGTGGGGACAACAGCCTGGGCGGATAGGTTAGGAGGAAACGCAGTTCCGAGAGCGCGTGGACAACTCCTGAGGGGTTTGGCAGCACAGGGCTGGAGAGGACAGCGGGTGTGGGCTCAGGACAGGGGACGTCGCCGGTTGCTCACAGGCCCAGCTGAGCGAAGAGCCAGTCCCAGGAGCACAGGCAGCCCTGCCTGGAGCAGGAGGACAGACGTGGGGTCTCTCTGCGGCCCCACCCCATGCAGCAGGGAACAGACTAGGGACAGGCAGAGTCGGTGGAGGTGTAACTAAGCTTGCCTCGGTGTTTTGTCCCTCTGTACAGTTTACCACTTTTTCCAACAAGGCTGTATTTTCAGGATTGTAAGATTAATTCAAATAATACATACGAGTAGCACTTGCACTAGTTCTTTGCTAGTGTCTATGCCTATAATGATGGTTTGTGATTTTGAAAGAAAAATCAAAACCATATAGCGTTCTAACTGCCCTGTGGGCACTCCTGTTTTGTGCTTAGATTCCACCGAGCTACCCAAGCGCCTCAGCCTCGACAGCTCGTCCTCGCTGGAGTCCCTGGCCTCGGCCCAGTCCGTTTCCCACGCCCTGCCCTTGGGCTACCAGCACCCTCCCTTCTCCCCCACGGGCGCGGACAGCGTCGCCTCGGACGCCATCTCCGTGTACAGCCTGAGCTCCATCGCCTCCTCCATGAGCTTCGTCTCCAAGCCCGAGGCGGGGTCCGAGGCTGGCGGCCCCAGAGGACGGCCGGACGACAGGTCCAAGAGTGCCGCGTACCCGCAGCGGTCCACCCTGCCCCGGAGCCAGCCGTCCCCCCAGACCCGGCCCTCGGGCAGCAAAGAGGAAGAAGAATACGAAGGGTTTTCCATCATCAGCACCGAGCCTTTGGCGGCCTACCAGGAAAGCAGGACGACTCTCTTCTCGCCAGATCACAAACAGTCCCGAGCCGGGACCGCCGGGGGCGTAAAAGTTTCGGTGAGCTCCAAGGGGAGCGTAAGCACGCCAAATTCCCCAGCTAAAATGACCCTCATTCCCAGCCCTAACTCACCCTTCCAAAAGGTTGGCAAGCTGGCCAGCTCGGACACCGGGGAATCGGACCAGTCCAGCACGGAGACGGACAGCACCGTGAAATCCCAGGAAGAGAGCAACCCGAAGCTCGATCCGCAGGAGCTAGCCCAGAAGATCCTGGAGGAGACGCAGAGCCACCTCCTGGCGGTGGAGCGTCTGCAGAGGGGCGGCGGCCAGGCGCGCGAGGGCGGCCTCCCCGGGCCCACCAGCGCCGCCGTCTTCCGGGCCTCGGAGACCAGCGCGTTCAGCAGGCCGGTCCTCTCCCATCAGAAGAGCCAGCCGTCGCCGGTCACCGTCAAACCAAAGCCCCCCGCCAGGAGCTCATCCCTCCCCAAGGTGAGCTCCGGGTACAGCAGCCCCACCGCCTCCGAGACGGCCGCCAGGGACAGCCTGGGCCCGCACAGCGGCCGGCCGTCGCCCGGCTCCGACTCCCAGACTTCCCTCACCGACCAGCCTCTCTTCAAACTGAAGTATCCCAGCTCTCCGTACAGTGCCCACATCTCCAAATCGCCAAGGAACATGTCCCCAAGCTCTGGCCATCAGTCTCCTGCTGGCAGCGCCCCGTCCCCAGCTCTCTCCTACTCCTCGGCCGGTTCCGCTCGCTCGAGCCCCGCTGACGCCCCCGACGTGGACAAGCTGAAGATGGCAGCCATTGACGAGAAGGTGCAGGCCGTGCACAACCTGAAGATGTTTTGGCAGAGCACAGCCCAGCACCCCACAGGACCCGTGAAAATCTTCCGTGGGACGCCCGGAACGACGACTTCCAAAAGAGATGTCCTCAGTCTATTAAATCTGTCACCGCGGCACAACAAGAAAGAGGAAGGAGTAGATAAGCTTGAACTTAAGGAGCTGTCTTTGCAGCAACGCGAGGAGGCGCCCCCCAACGGCCACTGGCGCACCGAGACCACCACGCTGAGCACGCTGCCACTGCCCCCCAGCCCTCCTGTTGGAGTCCCCACGCGCCCTTTGAGACTTCCTTCTGGAAACGGCTACAAGTTCCTGTCCCCAGGAAGATTTTTTCCTTCTTCCAAATGCTAAGGCATCTTCCATACCCAGCGACTCAGAGTGCAGCAGCCCACAGACGGGCCTGGCTCTCACTCCGGCCTGTTCCCGCGCCTCAGTGCATCAGCCCGCACGGCCACCGGCGCCACCTCGCCAGAGCGTGCTCAGTGGGTGAGGGGCGCCACCATGCCACAGGCTACCACGCACACACTGGTGGCTTCTCTGGACCTCTGGGCCACATTCACCAAAAGCCAGGACTTCTGTGGGTCAGTGCAGGAGGCTCGTGGAATTTTCTACACACTTCACCAAATGTTTACCTTTGAACTCCCTGCTTCTCATCTTTGACAGGATTCTTCAACAGGATTTTGTACAAAAACGGTCACGGTTCTGGGGTGGGGAGAGGAGGGGAGCACATATTTTGCTAAGAGGTGTATACGCAGTACCTTTTATACACAGAAATACAAATGGAGCTTTCTTAAGGCTTTCAGGTGCTGGTTGGGGTGGGATATATAAAATCTAAGTTGAATCCTATAGCCAAAAACAGAATAATGGTTTAAAAACTGCCAATGATCTGTAATGAAATGGTAGCAACTCTGGTCACACGACGGTGTGCCATCACCGCAGCGACGCAATAATTCACGCCGCGGCCGCGCTGCACCCTCAGCTGCGCTGCCCTAGCGGGCTCCGCAAACACCTGTGGGCCCCACTGGCAACCAAACTTGAATTTTCTTAAAAGATTTATGTAACTCTTATCCAGGCATTTTAGAACTATGCAATTGTGATTTAAAATGCAACTTTGTGCTTTTAAAACATTGACCTTTTTTGTACATGGATGAACAACTTGGTTTTATTATCAACAGTACTTTGCATTTATAGCTATTATTTTTAAAAGCTCAAAAAGTTTTTTAAAATGTCAAATTTTGAATAGTCATCAATAAGTAATTGTCAAGCTTGGAGGAAAAGGTTGAAATTACTATTTCCTTATAAGCAAAAAAAAAAAAAAGAAAAAAAGAAAAAAAATCCCTTGGCTAACTAGATTTAACCAGAATCTAGCCTTTTAAGCTCCTATTCTCTTTTATTACCTGCTTAATTTTACTCTCTTTTCCCAGCTCCAGGCCCCTCAGACCTCTTCTATCTAAACCCACTGCTAGGTTCCCACGGTCCCAGCACCCACCTCCATGAGCTACACGCTCCTCTTCCCCATGGCTGGCGTCCCCTTGCGCCTGCGGTGGAAGGACAAGCCCCTGCCCACCGCGGAAGACTAGCGTCTGCACCCTGAGAAGCAGGGGCCTCTGCTGCATCACTGCTAGCTGAGGAACGCGATGAGGTGGGCTTTCCCTGCAGCTCTGACAGTAGACTTCAGTCGTCGCCAGCTTGGGGCAAGACAAGGGAATAGGCTAATTAGAGGTAACCATTAATTTATTTTAATAAAGAAATGAAATGCTAAAAACCACATTAGTACTAAGTTTAGTTGGAGAATTTAAATAAGTCGGTTTTGTTTCATTTTTTTAGAAAGACAGTCTCATTCTGTCACCCAGGCTAGAGTGCAGTAGTGTCATCATAGCCCACTACAGCCTCAAACTCCTGGGCTCAAGTGATCCTCCTGCCTCAGCCTCCCCAGTAGCTGGGACTACAGGCACATGCCACCATGCCTGGCCAAGTTTTAAATATTTTTTTATAGAGATGAGGTTTCACTATGTCACCTAGGCTGGTCTTAAACTCCTGGACTCAAGTGATCCTCCTGCCTTGGCCTCCCAAAGTGCTGGGATTACAGGCGTGAGCCACTATGCCCCGCCAAAATAAGTATCTTTTAGGTGATTCTAAAATTAAAATCCTGTCACCCTCACTGTGAAGTTATATCACACAAGCTTGGGCAGCCACCTGGCCCAGGACACCAGGAACACATGGGGTGAACATGAAGGGCCTGGCAGGAGGGACACTTACTTACATCAAGACCCCCAGGTGGAGTTTTAGCCTTGGGTAGTATGTCACTTTAAAAGCACACACTGACCATTTCACCTGCTCCTCAGTGTACTCCTCTGCAAAGAAAAAAGGATGCTATTTATCCAGTTTGTGTTGTCCTGAGCTACATCATAGAGATATTTTGTTTAACCCAACAGCCAACAATAAGGATGTCCCATTCTAACCCTGATCCCAACACTAAAAATAGAAGTATTTTATAAAGAAACAAGCAACTATGAGAGTGTCTTTACGTTAGTAGGGAACAAATGGTAATAAAAATACCAGTGTAGCAAATGAAAGCCAAATTCATAGCACTGTGCATTTAGCAAAATCAGGTCCTCAACAATAAAAAATAAACCTCAAATTTCTAACTCCACATGCGGACGGTTAGGCTGTCCCTTTCTCAGCAAAGCTCTCGCAGCCTCTTTCCCAAGTGCCAAGGATCCCTGGCGTGAAGGCCGGGGTCCCGACCTGCCCCCTCGCCAACACCCCCGCCGCCCCCGCCGCTGCCTGTGCTTCAACCCAGCTAGGGGGCCTCGCGGACTCTGGCCTGGTTTCAGTCCTAGGTACACTGTTGTTTAGGTTTCATATTGAAGAGCCAAATGGTATATGTGATTTTTTTTTTGTTCTAGATATAAGTTTCAATGAAGGGAAAACAAAGGTGATAAAATGATAGGCCCAATCTAAAGATCACTGTAGAGTCGCCGCTTCTTTATGTTATTCTCAGTCTTGGTGTTTCTGTACGACTGAAATGGATGTAAAATCATAAAATCAAAGTGAATTTTTCAGGCTACACTGTAAAAAGTATGCACTTAAAATTATGAGCGATTGTATGATTCACAAAGGTTTCTTTGTATAGATCAGGGGTTGGCAACTATGACCCACAGGCTAAATCCGGTCAGCCGTCTGTTTTTTTACGGCCATGAGCTAAGAATGGATTTTACCTTTTTAAATGGTTATATAAGGACCTATATATTGTTCTTGATTTTGCCTCTTCTCCCCCCCCCCCCCCCCCCCCCCCCGCCAAAAATATCTAGTACCTGGTCTTTTAAGAAAAAGTTTGCTGACTCCTGCCATACAGGACAGAAAACATAATTGGATAATATTTTGTTTCTGCATCTAGAGGGCGTGTGGGGCCACGCTGGCTGGCGTGCCCGGGAACCCCGAGCATTGAGGCCACGTGGGTGAAAGCAAAGGGCTCCTGCAGAGCCACTGGCTCTTTGCACCACTTGGGAGGAGTCAACAGGTGTGGGTAATATTTACAAAAATATTTTGTGAAGCAAGCATTGGATACGTTTCCTTTTAGCTCAGGAAGCTGCAGTGCGCCGCCCTGCCCCGCTCCAACAGAGGCAGGTACTCGGAAGACAGGCAGTGCAGCTCGCTCTTAGAAACCCTGGCATGGCCGCAGATGGAGGGAGCAGACGCTATCTCCATTCTTACCAGTGAACGACTTCCCTACTTTAATGATTTTTAACTAGTCAAAATACCAAGAGAAAATTAGCCACTAAAAATATATTTTGATCTATTTTGATTAATTGATGTGCAGCAAAATGAAATAGTTCTCAATCCCGTTTTTAAAAGCTCATGGTTCACACCGACACGTGCGGGTTTCAGCAGGAGACAAGGCGCCACCCACACTACCCGCCTGCTCCCGCCTGTCCCAGCGGCCCGGCCCGCACGCCCCTCTGCCTCCCAGCCCCGCGCGCGAGACCCACAGGGCCCGTAGCCTTGATACTTTCAGTTCAGGCTGGAAAAATACCACGCAACGATCTGGTTTGCTTTTAGTAAGTAGGCAAAAAGTAAGAATTGTATAATTTTCATCACATATTTTGTTGTTTTATCTAAAATGAGTGTACATGTGGTTTGTGAACTGGGCCCTCGTGCCGGATCCTTCAGAGATGTCCCGCGTCAGGACACCCGTGGGCCCGCCCCTCCCCAGACACCCCCGCTTGGCAGTCACGTTCCTTGTACGCAGCGTCGGCCGTCTTTGGCCTATGTGGACTTTTTTGTAAATTACACAGTTTCCAGATGGCATTAAACTTTTTATATTACGAAATTTACCATGTAAAAAGAACTTCATATTTTTATTGAGATTGCTAAGGCACTTGGCCTCCTTCCTTTGTGATTTCAGTGTCTATTAAAGCATGAATTCCCTCAGTTTTAAGTGCTGTATCTGAATCGCTTTCTATGCACGTTCCACGCTCTCTAGGTTTCTTTGCAGTGCGAGTGGTCATGTGCCAGCAACGAGCACGTTCTCCCCTCGTCTGGAGTGTCGTCGTCTGTGAGCGGGGATGCCACGCGCCAGCTGGCGAGCACGAGACGCGCACAGCAGAGCTGTCCCTCTCTGGTCCCGAGGCCCCTCTGGCGGGGGACGGGTAGTTTAGACGGCTGACCCCTAGTTGGAGGGCCAGAAAATTCCACAGCTGGACGATTGTTCAGACAAAAACACAGTTCATCACCACTAGATCCTTATAGCTAAAGAAACTTCCAAGTAAGTATTTCAGAAAGTGTGAGAGCATGAAGGAACAGTGAAGAACTAGGCAACTGTGAATAAACCGAAACAAATACTGTGTAACAAAGAGTAATGTCTCATTTGGGTAACGATACAAAATACCTAGGCAATAACATGTAAAACAATGGACTTCCAAGTGCTGTAAGTTTGGGAAGATAGAGTAGATTATTTTTAGAATAAGTTAAGGCCGGGCATGGTGGCTCACACCTGTAATCCTCGCACTCTGGGAGGCCAAGGCGGGTGGATTGCTCGAGGTCAGGAGTTTGAAACCACCCTGAGCAAGACCCCGTCTCTACCAAAAATAGAAAGAAATTAATTGATCAACTAAAATTATATATACAAAAAGAAAAAAAAATTAGCCAGGCATGGTGGCGCATGCCTGTAGTCCCAGCTACTCGGGAGGCTGAGGCAGGAGGATCGCCTGAGCCCAGGAGACTGAGGTTGCTGTGAGCTAGGCTAATGCCATGGCACTCATTCTAGCCTGGGCAACAAAGTGAGACTCTGTCTCAAAAGAAAAAAATAACAATAGAATAAGTTAATCTATTACAATACATTAATATGTAAATCATGCACACACACACAGAAATAGAAGGTTATATTTCCAAACTAGTTAATGGAAGAGAAATACATTAATTTTTTTAAAAATCTTGGTCAATCTAGAGGAATAGAAAAAGAAACAACAACAAACAAAATTTAAAGGGCAGGATAAGTATAAAATAAGAAGAAAGAAATAAAATTATCAGTAATCATTATAATGTAAGTGAACTAAACAAAAAGCAGAGCTGTCCTGGAGGAATATGCCATGTGCTCTTTAGAAAGCTATATGCTATTTGAAAAAAAACAAAAAACAAATAAAAAAAAAAAAACTACCAAAGCACAGAGGCCCCAAATGGTTGACAGTAAAAGGATGATCAAAATAGATGTTAAAAGGCACTAATAAACAAGATCATTTCCCTAAGGATAAACTTAGCAAAACGGCAAAATTCTAAATTTGTGTGCAGCTAACTAGATAGCCTCAAAATTCATAAAGGAAAACCTGGCAGACCTACAAGTTTGGAAAAATACACACTATCATGATGGGAGATTTTAACCCACTACTCTCAATAATCGATAGATGAAGCAGACAAAAAATTAGAAAGCATATGGTAGGTTTAAACAGTTCAGCAAGCAGGTTTATGGGATGGAGTTGTAGAGAACATGTGCTCTGATAGTGAATCCACATTCTTCACATGCACACATGGACCATGTTATGAAAACAGACCACATATAGGCCAGGTAACAAGTCTCAGCAAATACTGAAGAATTAGCACCGATACTACCACATGATCAGAACTCAGTACAATTAAGTTAGACATCAATTACAAGAAGATAACCAGAAAGTTGCCAGTCACTTAGATGTTTTAAAATGCACTAAATCGCATATGACCCATGGGAAAAGTCACACTAGAAATGAGAAAACACTACACATCGAAATCGGGAGGCGGCTCCGCAGCCACCCTGGGAGATTCTGGGCTTTTGTTAATGACAGAGGTGTGTCTTACTTGTTCCATACAAGCCTAGAAATTTGCACAGGGGACTCCAAACAATCACTTTCACCGAATCAAATAAAATACACACTTATTTTTATTTCTGCTTCCATGCTATTTTCAGGAAATTTATAAATTATGATAGCCTGAAAATAAGATTAATTTATAATTCTATAAAAATTAGTGGGATACAGTATTTTAAAGGAAAGTTTATAGCCCTAAATGTTTATATTCAAGAGTAATGTTGAGGCCGGGCGCTGTGGCTCACGCCTGTAATCCTAGCTCTTGGGAGGCCGAGGCGGGCGGATTGCTCAAGGTCAGGAGTTCAAAACCAGCCTGAGCAAGAGCGAGACCCCGTCTCTACTATAAATAGAAAGAAATTAATTGGCCAACTGATATATATATAAAAAATTAGCCGGGCATGGTGGCGCATGCCTGTAGTCCCAGCTACCCGGGAGGCTGAGGCAGAAGGATCACTCGAGCCCAGGAGTTTGAGGTTGCTGTGAGCTAGGACGCCACGGCACTCACTCTAGCCTGGGCAACAAAGCGAGACTCTGTCTCAAAAAAAA